GCTTTTAAGGGTTAATCCTTTGTTAGCTGGCATGCTTTTTTGAAGAGAGCATCCAAAGGTTCGAAATTCTTTGCTTTTTTATTGTCCTAACTGTGATTGTCCAAATTCTTATTGCTCTAATTTTTATATATATAATATGATTTTATTTATACATTTATATTATATATTATATATTATATATTATATATTATATATTTCCATAATATATATTATTTATTTATATTTCTATAATATATATTATATATTTATATTTATACAATAGAAATTTTAGGTATAAATTTATATTATATATTTATATATATGTATGTGTGTGTGTATATATATTACTATTTTTATAACCATTTTATTACTATTAAACTTTCAACAGTTTTAAAACAAGTGATTGGGGTTTTTCACACCAGTCCTTGAGCTGCACAGCACCAATGTACCCCCCCAGCCATGGGGAATCACTCCCCACCTGTGCTGAGCCCCCTCTGCTGGGCCAGGACACTGCTCCAAACCAGGGCAGAGACCTCAAAGCAGATTAAGAGCAGTTAAAGCAGCCAATAATGCAGAGCAGAGCAGAGCCCAGAGCACGAGTGACCTGAAGCATGATTTGCAGCGAATGTCTTTTCCTCTCATAAATAGGAGAGACACAGTGGGACGATTATCCACCCAGATTTATCTCCTCAGCTCTGTGTATATCCTTCTGTGCTTAAAAATGTCTCACTGCCCTTTGCGTTATTGCATTGCCCTTTACATTCATAGCACATAAACCTCTCAAGTACTGTAAAACTTACAAGGTGTAATATAACGTCGGGGGGTTTCTTTTACACACCATAAACAGAAGTCACTGGGAAAGGAAAGGAGCAAAGAAAGGGAGACATTACTTGGCCTGACAACAGTACAGGAGGAAAATATATATACAAGTATACATATATACACTTAAAATCCCGAGCTGGATTGATTATCTGGCGTTGATGGATCACCTGAATGTGTTACGTAGATAAGGAAATTGATTGTTCAATAAATCACTGTCTGCACTAAGAATCCTGTGTTAAAAAAGGAAGGGGAAATATTATAAATCTGTCTCGCACGGGCAAAGAAAAAGCTTGAGCTTTTAAGGCTAATCATGATGTACCTTTTGCTGCACATCTGATAAAAGAATATCAGCTCAGAGTTCTGCAGTGCTAAAGGACTGGTGTCTGTCCCAAGGCTCTGCAGGGAGGGAACCTCCCTGGCATGGCTGAGGGGCTGCTCTTGGTGCCAGCAGTGGGCAGGGTGATCTGACAGAGCCCTGTTGCCCTGATTTTTGAAGATTTTCTAAGCCTTCTGATGTTTACGTTCTTGTAACGAGCTTTCTCACGTGCTTTCTGTAAATAACTCATTGTTTTGCATAATTTTATAGAGGAAGAGAATTTTGATGGACTGTTGGTTTGTCCAGTGTCATTGGAGAGTGTCACTGGACAGTGTCACTATCACCCTTCAATCCACTGTCACTTTTAGAAAACTATAAATTAGAGTCAGAAAATAAACTCCCCCTTTTTACCTTAAGAACAACAGTGTGTGTGCATCGTTTTATTTCATGTCCTATAGTGACAGAGCCCCAGGGGTACATCAGCCCCATCCCTGGAAGTGTCCAGGGCCAGGTTGGACAGGGCTTGGAGCAACCTGGGACTGTGAAAGGTGCCCTGCCCATGTGGAGGGGTGGAATGAGCTGATCTTTGATGTCCCTTCCAACCCAAAGCATTCTGAGATTGTGGAATGAGCTGAGTTTTCACGTCCCTTCCAACCCAAAGCATTCTGAGATTGTGGAATGAGCTGAGTTTTCACGTCCCTTCCAACCCAAAGCATTCTGAGGTTCTGTGACATCCAGCCTTGTCTCCTCTGCTGAGCAGGTGTTGTGGCTTTTTGTTCCATTCAGAACAGAATCCACCCTGTTCCCAGCACAAAACTTCTGCTGCAGGCAGGAAAAATCCCCCTCAGCCCAGGCAGGCACGGTGTCTCGCAGAGGGCGGAATTTAAAATCACTGCGGTGACTTCCCTCAGAGCGCTTTGAATTCACTGCAAAACTAACCAACAAGTCTAACACCTCAGTCCCCACAGACAGCCGTAACTCAGCTAAATTTGTGGGTTACACCAGATTTTATTTACTGCTTCATCCTGGGAGAAGAGTGCGAGCTGACAGCCGTCTATTCATTAGAGTGGGGGGAGCCGCCCACGGCGCCGCCGGCTCTCTCCCCGTTCACTTCCACGGCTCTAATGGAGTTTGGGCTCTGCAGAGCCAGCTCTGTTATTTTAGGAATGATGTACCTTCCTACTCACCTGGGAGCTGCTGAGTTCAGAGATCTGGTCTGCTCACCCCCAAATTCCCAGTGGGAGCAAAGGCCATGCCGCAGCCATCAGATGTCACTACCTGCTAATGAGGGCCAGGGCAGTCAGTGGCCTCATCCCAGTCCTTACTGGAGGCAGGAACCACCATTTCCACCCAAGCTGCTGCTTGCAGGTGCCAAGGAGAAATTGGGCTTTGTCACAAAAGCCTGTGTAACTCTGAGTGCTCCAGTCCAGGGGAGATGGGTACCCTTTAGAGGAGATCCCCAGTGCCCAATTTCCAGAGCAATGAGCAAAGTGCAAGGCCCAAATTCACCAATTTGTCTGAACACTTATGTAATTTTAAGTCTTTGTTTTGTGCCTTTGGTTTATCTGTCTGCTTAAAAACTTCTCCAAACCACAGACCACAGGGTCTGTGCCTTTGGAAGCCCAGTCCTTCCTGCTGCTTTCCAGGTCACACTGCTGTGCTGAATGTCCCAGGCACAACGAGCTGACACAGAATGTGCCAGTTGTTCCCTTATTACTTCCCAATACTTATTTTTATTCTCTGAATCTGACCCCACACAGGGGAGTGCAGCTTGTTGGCTGGGGCACAGCAAAAAAGCCGAAGCCTAACGAGGTCCCTGGACTGAAGTATTGAATAATAGAGATACTGTGTGGTGCCCAAGGCTGGTGTCTGCTCTCCTCTCTTCCTGCCAGTGCTGCAGAGCTGAGCAGCGTGGGGGAAGCTCAGAGCAGCTCTGGGGTTGCCTCTGACGCAGGGGTACCCCACGCTCTCCTCAGCCGTTTGCAGCTGAACCACGTTTTGCTGATGATCTTCCCTGCCAGAAATAACAGAGCAGTCACATCCGTATTTGTGTGTTCATGCTCAGAGTCTCGCTGCAGATTTAAAGCACAAGGAGCCAGGTAATGCTGGCGAGGTGGGAGTCTCACAGTGCAAATCTGAGCACTTGGAGCTGTGGCTTCCCCGGGGGCAGCACAGCAAAGGGGGGTGAGAGGAGGCAGAAGGGGTTAACAAATGCAACCACAAAGCAAAGCTGGTGCAGGAGCAATGACAAAGCAATGAGCTGAGCCCTCCACCTGCTTTAAGAGCTCTCGTTTGTGCTAAGGACCTGCATCTGTTTTAGTCTTTATTACAAGTGGTAAACAGCAGCGCATCGTCCCTGTTTTCACTGTCAATAACACGAATCGATGTATCAATGCATGACCCCCCATCCCACTGAAATCCCCTCTGCACCGGCCCACACTGCGACAATCCCTGCCTGGCAAACCGAGCTGGATTCCCCAAGGGGCACAGCACTCCTGTTCCTGCCGTAGAGCCGTTCTTATCCTCTCCTTCAGCCCTCAATGCTCCCCTCTATCCCCCCTCCGTGCTTTCCACTCGCTATCTGCCATTCCCAGAGACTCTGCTGTGCACAGGGAACAGCCCAGACAGCATCGCGGTAAAGCTGCAGCCGAGAGGAGGCGAAGGAGATTGCGAAACTGGTGGAGACACACATTACACCGGATTAGGAGGCTTAATGCTGGCTACAAGCGCCGCGCCGGGCGGATTTGCCATTGTGTCTCCTCCACGAGAGACTCCAGCACGGCAGCTCTGCTGGCACAGCTCGGTGCGAGCGCTGGAGATCCGCTCTGCCCCGGGAGGAGAGACTCCAGCATCTCCACAGCTCGGCTGGGCACAGCTCGGTGCGAGCGCTGGAGATCCGCTCTGCTCCGGGCGGAGAGACTCCAGCATCTCTGCTGGCAAAACTCCGAGTGAGAGCTGGAGATCCGTGCTGTTTTGGGAGGAGAGACTCCAGCACCCCCAGCATCTCCAGCAGCTCTGCTGGCACAGCTCTGTGCGAGAGCTGGAGATCTGCTCTGCCCGGCAGGAGACTCCAGCACCGCATCTGTGTTGGCACAGATCTGTGCGAGAGCTGGAGATCCGTGCTGGTTTGGGAGGAGAGACTCCAGCACCGCAGCTCTGCTGGTACAGCTCTGTGCGAGCGCGGGGAACTGCTCTGCCCCGGCAGGAGACTCCAGCATTTCCAGCATCTCTGCTGGCACAGCTCTGTGCGAGAGCTGGAGATCTGCTCTGCTCTGGGAGGAGGGACTCCAGCATCGCATCTGTGCCGGCACAGCTCGGTTCGAGCGCTGGAGATCCCCGCTGCTCCGGGAGGAGACTCCAGCATCTCCAGCATCTCTGCTGGCACAGCTCTGTTTGAGCATTGGAGATTCGTGCTGGTTTGGGTGGAGAGACTCCAGCATCCCCAGCATCTCCAGCATCTCCAGCATCTCTGCCGGCACAGCTCGGTGTGAGCGCTGGAGATCTGCTCTGCCCCGGGAGGAGACTCCAGCACCGCATCTGTGCCGGCACAGCTCGGTGTGAGCGCTGTGGATCCGCTCTGCCCCAGCAGGAGACTCCAGCACCGCATCTGTGCCGGCACAGCTCGGTGTGAGCACTGGAGATCTGCTCTGCTCTTTGGAGGAGACTCCAGCACCGCATCTGTGCCAGCACAGCTCGGTGTGAGCCCTGGAGATCTGCTCTGCTCTGGGAGGAGACTCCAGCACCGTATCTCTGCTGGCACAGCTCGGTGTGAGCGCTGTGGATCCCCTCTGCTCTGGGAGGAGACTCCAGCACCGCATCTGTGCCGGCACAGCTCGGTGTGAGCGCTGTGGATCCCCTCTGCCCCAGCAGGAGACTCCAGCACCGCATCTGTGCCGGCACAGCTCGGTGTGAGCGCTGTGGATCCGCGCTGCTCCGCAGGACGGTGCGGGAGCCGCGGCGGGGCACTGCCCTCTGCCGATGCGGGGCCCGGCTGGGCGCCAGCGCATATCGCGACAGGCGGGGAGGCTGGGATTCCCTCGGCAGCGCTAATTCCCTGCAAGCGCTGCTCTGTACCCAAGGAGCGCCTCCTTGCCCAGGAAAAGGGAGCCAGCTCTGCCGGGGACAGAGTGAGCTCAGTGTCACTCCGGGCGGGCTTTACAGGAACCTTCTCCCAACATCAGCCTCTGCTTGGTTTCGTTAATAAAAACACCCGAGAGGCAGAGATTGGGGTCAGAGAGGGGGATTTGCACCTGCTGGTGGTAAAACCAGATGTGACACTGCAGCACGAGAGGAGGTGCCACAGGCACGTGTGACGCAGTGTCCCAGTGTGTGTCAGTGTGTCCTAGGGTGTGTCCCAGCGTCCTGGTGTGTGTCAGGATATCCCAGTGTGTGTGTGTCTGTGTGTCCCAGTGTGTGTCAGTGTGTCCTAGGGTGTGTCAGTGTGTCCTGGTAAGTGTCAGTGTGTCCCAGAGTGTGTCAGTGTGTCCCGGTGTGTGTCAGTGTGTCCTGGTAAGTGTCAGGGTTTCCCAGAGTGTGTCAGTGTGTCCCAGAGTGTGTCAGTGTGTCCTGGTGTGTGTCAGTGTGTCCTGGTAAGTGTCAGTGTGTCCCAGAGTGTCACTGTGTCCTGGTGAGTGTCAGGGTGTCCCAGTGTGCATCACTGTGTCCCAGAGTGTGTCAGTGTGTCCTGGTGAGTGTCACTGTGTCCTGGTGTGTGTCAGTGTGTCCCAGAGTGTGTCAGGGTGTCTTGGCATGTGTCACTGTGTCCTGGTGTGTGTTAGTGTGTCCCAGTGTGCATCACTGTGTCCCAGAGTGTGTCAGTGTGTCCCAGTGTGCATCACTGTGTCCTGGTGTGCATCACTGTGTCCTGGTGAGTGTCACTGTGTCCCAGTAAGTGTCACTGTGTCCCAGTGTGTGTCACAGTGTCCCAGTAAGTGTCACAGTGTCCTGGTGAGTGTCACTGTGTCCCAGAGTGTGTCAGTGTGTCCTGGTGAGTGTCACTGTGTCCTGGTGAGTGTCACTGTGTCCCAGTAAGTGTCTCACAGTGTCCCAGTGTCAGGAGATGTGCACCCCCCTCTCTCCACTCACAACCAGCCCCTCAAGGCTCCCCCACCCCTTAAGCTGTGCCCAGCCCCTGCTGCCCCCAGCCCGAGGGTGCCCAAGTGCCCCGAGGCAGGAGCCCAGCACGGAGCTGTCTGCTCTGGTGTCTCTCCTGCCTCGTGATAAATGAGAGTCTATTCTTTTCTGCTGTGTGGTTTGATCTTAATTTCCTGTATGAAGTTCTCGAGAGAATGCCAAGATCAAATAATTAGACTATTCTGCGATAAAGAGTTAACATTGTTATTCAAATGTATTCAGAATTCATTTACCACCAAACAATTTACACTGCCGCCCTCCTATCCTGCTGAAATTACCAGAATGTGTTATCTGACACACAAAGTGTCTCGTGACCTGAAATAACTTTATCAACCATGAAATGCTTGAGCAGTGGGTGCACGGTCACAGAAATGCCCAGGGGAATGCAGCAGAAGCTACAAAGGCAATAAGTGATTTAAAACCAGCCTGGTGCCATCCCCTGCCAGCCTCCCCAAAGAGCTCTGGCCACTCTGGTCACCAGGCAGGAGCTGGGCAGAAAAACCCTGGAGCTGCCCTGCTGAGGATTCCCATTCATGTCCCCTGTGGATGTGCAGCTCCCAGCCCTTGGGTGCTGCCTTTTCAGCCTGGAAAAGCCTGTTTCTGCTTTATTTTTAAAAATACAACTTCATTTGCAGAGTGTGGGAAGGTGGTTTCAAAATAAAATTCCTGACAGGCATAATAAGCCTCAGAAAAGCCAATCACACAGAGCAGGATAATTATCCCCAGAATTTGTTTTCTATGTATTTGTGTAAAATAATCAATGATATTTTTCTCACAGGATTTCCAATTTGATTGTATTTTCTGTGTTACTTGCAAATCATACAAACAATCGATGCTCTGACCCCTTCTCTATGCAAACACTGCTCCGAAAGACACTACAAGAAATAAAATCTGATAAATTCCTCACGCAGGGTTGTTTGTTTAAAAGCTTTGCTGGAGACTGATCCTGCTCACAGTGACTTCAGAGATACAGGAGTGGGACTGTCAGACATGCTTGAGGTGGGATTATAGCCACAAATATCAGCAGGAGTAGAAGCTCAGTAAAATCCTGGCACAAAAGTGAAGATCCAGACGTGGAGGTGATGCAGCAAGGAAAATGAACCCATTCCCTGGCCTGGCACACTCCTCCTGCAGAGGGGCACACAGCTGGGCTTGGGGTGACCCAGGGGCAGGGTGGGACCTGCCTGTCCCCTTGCCCACACAGGGGACACAGCAGGGGCACTCCTGGCAGGAGTGGGGTGGCCAAGGGCACTGATGGCAGCAGGGCCAAGTGGAGTCACTTCCTCAGCAGCTCCCGAGTGCAAACCCATTCAGGACCCCCCAGATCCAGCTCCTGGGTGCAAACCCACTCAGGACCCCCCAAACCCAGCTCCTGGGTGCAAACCCACTCAGGACCCCTGCCCCCAAACCCAGCTCCTGAGTGCAAACCCACTCAGGACCCCCCAGATCCAGCTGCTGAATGCAGCACACACCAAACCCAGCTCCTGGGTGCAAACCCACTCAGGACCCCCCAAACCCAGCTCCTGAATGCAGCACACCCCAAATCCAGCTGCTGAATGCAAACCCACTCATCACCTCTCCCCCAGATCCAGCTCCTGAATGCAAACCCACTCAGGACCCCCCAAACCCAGCTCCTGAGTGCAGCACATCCCAAACCCAGCTCCTGGGTGCAAACCCACTCAGGACCCCCCAAACCCAGCTCCTGCTGCCTGCCCAGTGCCCGGGGTCTGTTCTTTACCCTTTACTGATCTCAGCCCATTGGCAGCCGATCCGCACTGTGTCTCACTAACACACCATCCCCCAAAAGCAGCACTCGGAGGAATTCCCGATGATGCTTCAGCAACAAAATGGGTCTGGAGCCGCCAGTCCTGCTCCACCTATCCCAGCCATCCCGCCCTGCTTTGTTAGGGACGGTGCCATCAGCGCTGCAAAATGGCATCAGGCTCTGTCTGTGTGCTCAAGGGTGCTACAACTGCTTTTTAATCCGAGTGCAGGGTTGGACAAACGGGCTCTGCACGGTCCCATGAGCTCCTCCTGGCCCTCCTTTGGCTGCGAGAGTGCAAAGGCTCAGCTGCTCCTGGTGCCAGGTGTGAAGTGCCCGGCTCAGCCGCAGCGAGGGCGGGCAGCAGCGCAGGATCCCTCAGCGGGGTGGGCACGGGCAGCTCCTCTCACCACCACCCTCCTCTGCCTCTGCTCCAGGGCACCTCGGAGCTGAATTGAGCACTCGGGTGGTGTTTTCTGATACGGCTTTTTCAAATATTTAACAGATTGCGTAATAACCGAGCAGCTGTTGAAGAAGCTTCAGATATAAACTCCTGCTTTAAAAACCCATCCTGCAACAAGGCACAGATTTTCTTTGTACATGTGCATGTATAGATTATGTTTAGATGTGTAGATTAAATATTTATATTTTACTGGTGAGAGAAAGAGCGCTTTTGGCTTTTTCTTCCCTTTCTTAGATATCTCTCCCTGTATTTATTTTAATAGTCAGCTTCACAAGGAAAAAAGAGAGCTTTGAGAAGTTACCTGCTTTCTCTCTGGTTTGATTTTCAGTGCTAAACCAATAGTTACTTAAGTGCTCTGCACGTCTTGTCATAACCTAATAATTAAAATAATTACTTGAAAGCCAGGGCATCTTTGCACAAATTAATGCAGGGCAAGAAGCTGCAGTTTTCCAGTGGGCTGAAAAAGAGGTCACAAAATGATGCCAGTTTTAGCTGAGAGAGAAGGTAAACACAGATCTCCCTGCAGCCCCGATTAAAGCCTTCTCCTGATCTTTTGAGTTTCTTACTTTAGTGATCAAGAAGGTGGCTCGATGAGGGGCTGACTGTTGTGGGATTTCTCAGCAGGTAAAGCCAGAGTGTTCCTGTGGAAGGCACGGCAGTGCTGGCAGTGGCACAGCTGTGCTCCTGCAGTGGGCAACGCTTCCTCCCTTCCTGCCTGCCTCCCTCCATCCCTCCCTGCCTCCATCCCTGACTCCTCCATCTCTCCCTTCCTACCTCTATCCATCCCTCCCTGCCTCCATCCCTTCCTCCCTGCCTCCATCTCTCCCTCCCTGCCTCCATCTCTCTCTCCCTACCTCTATCCATCCCTCCCTGCCTCCATCTCTCTCTCCTTGCCTCCATCCCTCCCTCCCTGCCTCCATCCCTCCCTGCCTGCCCGGTGAAGGGGAGCAGAGCTGCAGCAGACCCGAGTGTTTTCGTGGAGGGCTGGCAGCAGCGTCTGCATTGAAATCTCCTCTGTCCTTTTGTGCAATTGCTTTGAGCCTGGAAAATCCATTTGCAGGACAACTGAGGCACTGAGAGTCGAGACTAAACCTCTCCACGGAGCCCCCAGGGATACTCCTGAGTATCCTGAATGTCCCCCATGAGCCAGGCGAGTGTTCCCTGGAGTCTCAGCAGCCGCCAGCCCCAGCGGCCTCAGCCCATTTCCCCCCGAGCATCTGCCACATCTGCAGCCGCCCCTGGCCGCCTCCTCGGGGCTCCAGCCTGGCAGCAGCCGGCTCTGGCCACCAAGAATCGGCCCCGCCGCTGCCAAGCCCAAAGCAGGAGGAGCTGCCAGCCCGGCAGCCCAGCTGCCACAGCCCCCCCGCGCACGGCTGTCGGTCCCAAAGGCCATCAGAGCCCTGGGACCTGCCGGGGAGGGAAACTCTGCCACCCCAGCACTGCGGAGCTGGCGCTGGGGACAGGCTGGTGGCACGCAGAGCGGGGGTCTCACAGCAGGACCTCCCCGCTCCTGCAGTGGGACTGTCAGCGGCCACGGAGCCTTCCTGGGAGTGGGTTTGTGCGGCACAAAACATTTCCAGCTGTTCCAGGAGGAGGCTGAGCATACTAAACAGCTTGGCTCTGGTGAAAGTTCAGCAGCCGCCAGGGCC